GGGCTCTGACAGCTCCCACTGGCTGGGCTGTGACACTGTGACGGTCTCCCATTGGCTGGGCTGTGATGCTATGACGGTCTCCCATTGGCTGGGCTGTTGCCTGGGTAGGAGATCTTCCTCCTGCTGGGGTGGTTAAAATGAGCCCTCTCCTGTTGGTCTAGGAGTGTGTGGGGTTAGAACTCCCCGTGCTGGTCCTAACTCCATTTCAAACGAGGGTTCCTTTATTTTCACAGTAGGGAGTTTTAATTGAGGTTCTAGAAAAGATTTGACATTGATTTGTTGTTTTAAATCAACCCAGTAATCTAAAGAAAGCTCACAGTGTTCATTCAGTAGGTAAGATCAGCACCTTTGCAGACTAGTGAAGAAAGCATACTCTTAGAAGTTCATAAATTTTAAATGCTTCCCGTTTCTGTAAAGAATTGTGTTTAAAAATTTTAATCTCTGTTTCATTCTTTCGACACTGTTTTGCTTCCGTTTGGCATAGGACCTTTACTATGGTCTTTACCAGAACCTTAGAAGTGAAGCAGATATAACGAAGTGTTTTCTTATTGTCTCTCTTTTTAAAAGTAGAAATGGAGGGGAAAATGGTGTATTAAACGCGGCAGCGATGCGGCAGACCCTAGGAGAACCATGGCCACATCCGGTGACTGCCTCCAAGGTGAACTGCAGGTAATGTCGGTTCTGGTGTGTAAGGACCACAGATACTGCAGAGAGCACGGCTCAGCCACTAGCCGGGGCCTCGTGGTTGGAGGAGATGCAGTCTTTGTGAGGGTTACATGTGACATTCTGAATTGTGCCGTGTGCCTCTCGCCGCGACTCTACCTTTGGCACCTGTGCTGTGAAGCACTCACACTGTTCTAGTTGCTTGGTAAAGTCCCAGGCATAATATCTTAAAAGCAGGCTGGACACTTTAGAATGATTTATTTATTCATATCTTTTTCTGCCTGGGACATACGTCTAGTTTCATTTAAGCTATTAGTTAAAAAAAAAATTACCCTAAATTTCAAGGAATGTTGAATATATAAAACTACAAACCAGATGAATACTCTAACAAATAATGCTTTTTAAAAAAATCAAATATTTTCATAGCCGTGATGTCCGTTTTGACATTTTGTTCTCTATCCTTCCAATTTCATTTTGGTTTTTATATATAGGAATTTGATTCATAGTTGTGTCATTTCATTAATTTCTTTTTTTTTAAAGGTTTTATTTATGTATTTGACAGAGAGAGAGACAGCAAGACAGGGAACACAAGCAGGGGGAGTGGGAGAGGAAGAAGCAGGCTCCCCACGGAGCAGGAACTGCCCCCCCCCCTTACAGGACTTTGTGCTTCCAGTCGGCGACAGGAGAAGAACTAGGGACAAACAAGCCAGCCTCAAGAGATTGGGAGCAGCGGACAACAGTCGAAAAGACTGCTGCCCCGAGCAACTCCACAGTCTCACTTTTATTAGATAGAAACAAAAGCCAACAGAAGGACCGATGAAGGTCAAACGTTAGTCACACGTCTTGTGGACAAACAAGAAGGAGGATCAAGTTTTCAGTTAACCAAGCACATTCAGAGGACTCATCTAACTATCCAGGGGGCGTCTGGGAAGAGAAAGGAGCGATAACGGAAAAGGGAAGCAGGTGGTTTCGTTCCACCCTGAGCTGACCGGGCGTTCGGCTGCCCAGCTTCTCGGTCGTGTATCGTCCTTCTCCCCAAAGACCTGTTGCCAGTGTATGTTTTTCTTAAGGCATATCTAAATGTGCTTGTTAACTAGCAAAATCCTCCAGGGGTTATAGTTTAAGTAACACATTGTTCCGAGGGGCAGTAGCAGGACTTGATCCCAGGGTCCTGAGCTGAAGGCAGACGCTTAAGGACTGAGCCACCCAGGCGCCCCTCATTAACCTGTTTCTGAAAATTAATCATAAAACTTAAGTTCTGTGGATGCACTCTTGTTCTTTTGAGAAATTTAGAAAATATTAGAACATTTGCAAAATAATACTGTGAACATCACGTTCATAGCACAGAGAAGTGACAGCTCGTTAACATTTTGTCGTGGGTGTCTGTGTATGCTTAGATGCGCGCAGTCTGAAGGAAAGGTAGGTAACGCTTGTTCCCTGACCCCAGCCCCATTCCTCTTCCTCTGTTTCCGCAGGCAAATACTGCTGTGAATTATGAATTGATCTTTGTGCTTCTGCACCACTTTTTATGCTTTTGTACCTAATGTAGGCATCTTGGAACAGTACGTGATGCTGTTTGTGCGCTTTTTTAGAATTTGTCTGAGTGGAGTCATACTCCGTGTCATCTGCGACTTCCGTTTCCCAACGTTACTTTGGGGTTTGCCCTTGTGTGTGTAGAGCTGATTCAGCCCTATGAGACGCTTCTGTAGCGTGCCCCGTGTGACCCTCACATCCCGCGGTGTCCCCCACCCCGTGTAACTGTCATGTCCCGTAAAGTGCACCCATGTGTGACCATCACGTTCGTGGATCGTACCCCCCCCATGTGACTGTCGCGTTCTGTGGATTACCCCCTCCCCTGCCATGTGACTGTCACGTTCTGTGGATCTGTGGGACACGTTCTGTGGAACGTGTGACTGTCATGTTGTGTGGATCGCCCCCCATGTGACTGTCATGTTGTGTGGATTACCCTCCCTCCCCCGCCCTGTGACTGCCACATTCTGTGGATCACCTCCCCCTCCTCCGTGTGACTGTCACGTTCTGTGGATCACCTCCCCCCCTCCATGTGACTGTCACGTTCTGTAGATCTGTGTGACACGTTCTGTGGAACGTGTGACTGTCACGTTCTGTGGATCCCTTCCCCCCTGTGTGAGCGTCACGTTCGGTGGATCGCCCCCTGTGTGACTATCACCCTTGTGTGCAGGTCTGTGGCAGTCTTACTAGTGTACGGTTAGGGTTAGGTTTAGGGTTAGGGTTAGAGTTTTAACAGTTTTATCTTTTCAAAGAACTGGTTTTGTCTTTGACTTTCTCTTTGTTCACCTGCTTTCTGTTTTATTGATTTCTGCTTTTATCTTTATTTGTTTCATCCTTTGGGTTTAATTTTCTCTTTTTGTAGCATCTTGCCATGGAAATTTGCAACACTGACTTGAACCTTTCTTCTCTAGTACATGTGTTTAAAGCTGTGACTTTTCCTCTGACCCTCAGTTTTCTTGCCTCACACACTTAACTATGTTGTATTTTTATTTTTGATCAGTTTAAATACTTTATAATATGTCGCAGTGGAAATCAGTTTCTGGGCTATTCAGAAGTGTGCTATTTCTGGAGATTTAGGGATTTTTATTTATCTCTTTGTTATTTAATTTTGGTTTGCTTATGTTTGGTCAGAAAATATACTCTGTAAAATTTCAGTCTTTGGAAATTTATTTAGGCCTGCTTTGTGGCGTAGTCAGGTGGGCCGTTGTGGTGAATGCCCCACACGCGTCCACAAAGAATCTGTTTTCTGCAGTTGGTGGTTTTCTGTAAATGTCATTAAGGTCAAATGTGTTATTAGTATTGTTCAAACATTTGTGTCCTTTCTGCTTTATTGCCCATTTGTTGTGTAGTTACTGAGCAGGATGAGCTTCAGAAATTCCCACTATGGCTGTGCCTGGTTGCTCGTGAGTTAAGTGTCTGACTCATGGTTTTGGCTCTGGTCATGATCTCAGGGTCGTGGGGTCAAGCCCCCCCCCAGGCTCTGTTTCGCTCCCTCTGCGCCTCCCCACACTTGCTCAGACACCTGCTCTCTCTGTCTCTAAAATAAATAACTAAATTTTTAAAGAAATTTCCACTAGGATTGTGGGGTTGTCTTTTTTTTTTTTTTAACTTCCTTTTGAATCTGTCACTTTTTGCTTCACGTATTTTGAATCTGTTATTTGACACATACATTCAGGATAATTTTTACTTTCTAAACTAATTGACTTTTATTTTTATGAAATCTCTTTTTACCTAGTACATTTTTTTTGTCTTCTGTCTCTTTTGTCTTATATTAATACGGGTGTACCAGCTTACAGGTGCACATACACCTATATGTTGAATCAAAGACCTTATATTTAAAATGTTTCTCTTGTACAGAGCCTGTAGAAATGTCCTTTTCTTCCCTGTCAGTAATCTCTGCTCTTTAATTGGAGTATTTAGTCCATTAACCTTGAACATGGTGACTGATGTGGTTGAGTTGGCCATCTTGCTGTTTTCCCTTTCTTCTTGGTACCTTTCTCCGGTGTTACCTCTGTTTGGATTAATGAAATATTGCTAATAATGCTACATTGTCTCCTCTGTTGGCTTTTCACCTGTATCTTTTACTAATATTTTAGTGGTTACCAAGAAACTGTGATGCGCATCTTTAACCCACCCCAGTGCTGTTTGTGTCTGACCGCTTCACAGTGTAAGATGCCTCCACATTAGCTCTACTTACTTGCCCCCAGTTTTGCGCTGTTTGTGCTCTTGTAACATCTGTCATAAACCCCACAATAAATAATTAGTGTCCCCTTATACTATTAAAAGTCTTTCTTACAGAGTATAAGAAATAGTCTTGTTTCCCCACATACTTGCTTTTTCTGGCGTCTCTACACCTGTTGCTCTGGCAAAAATTAAAGACCACGTTGGCACGCGTTGCCATGAGTAGTCGCTGGAGGGTGCTGTCCGCTTCGCTGGAGAAGTGTGGGCGCCGCACCTTGTATGGAAGAGTCTCGCAAATGTGTGAATGAAAAGCTTATGGTCCAGCCCCGGTCATCTGTCTCCTAGAAATAAAATGTCACATGAGGGTAAATGTGTATGAATGTTGTGGCCACACCGTGGTAGAGAACTGGACACCAGGAGAACGTCCATTAGTCAAGGATGACTGAGGAATCAGGAAGAATTCCTACTGCAGAATATTATACAGTTGTTGAAATTTATAAGTTAGGGTTCTAAGAATTGGGAAGTTTCTCACAAGGTATTATGTTAGTAAAAAAGGCAAAATAAAAAAAAGTGTTTGTCACATCCTTCTCAAAAAACTGTCAAAAGAACAACTGTGTGTGTGAGTGTGTGCGTGTGTGTAAACACACGGCATCTTTTTTTTTTTTTAATTTTTTAAAAAAATTTTTTATTTTTTATAAACATAAACATATAATATATTTTTATCCCCAGGGGTACAGGTCTGTGACTCGCCAGGTTTACACACTTCATAGCACTCACTATAGTACATACCCTCCCCAATGTCCATAACCCCACCCCGCTCTCCCAACCCTCCTCTCCCCAGCAACCCTCAGTTCGTTTTGTGAGATTAAGAGTCAGTTATGGTTTGTCTCCCTCCCAATCCCATCTTGTTTCATTTATTCTTCTCCTACCCCCTTAACCCCCCATGTTGCACATCTCCACTTCCTCATATCAGGGAGATCATGTGATAGTAGTCTTTCTCCGGTTGACTTACTTCGCTAGGCATGATACCCTCTAGTTCCATCCACGTCGTCGCAAATGGCAAGATTTCATTTCTCTGATGGCTGCATAGTATTCCATTAACACATGGCATCTTAATCTGCCATTTCCCATTCAGAAATTCGTCCTAAGAAAATTGTCATGACAAGACAAAATAATACTTGTTTAAGAAAGTTCGTCTTAGGGGCGCCTGGGTGGCTCAGTGGGTTAAAACCTCTGCCTTCGGCTCAGGTCACGATCTCAGGGTCCTGGGATCGAGCCCCACATTGGGCTCTCTGCTCAGCGGGGAGCCTGCTTCCTCCTCCCTCTCTGCCTGCCTCTCTGCCTGCTTGTGATCTGTCAAATAAGTAAATAAAAATCTTAAAAAAAAAAAAGTTCATCCTAACATAATTTGTAATAGTATAAACTGGAAATAGTTTAAGGTTACCAAACTAGGAAATCGGTTAAATAAGTTACGATAATTCACAGAATATTACCGAAAGTTAGGAAGTGGTATTTAGAAATAATTTAACAAGGAGGAAAAATGTTAAGAATATAATAAGTGAGTGTTACACGCAACTAATGAATCATTGGATGCTACATCGAAAACTAATTATGTACTATATGTTGGCAAATTGAACTTAATAAAGAATTTAATAAGTGGGACACATATCACAAGGCAGAATTTCATGATCCCAGTAAACACCCTGTATGCACATGCTATGTGTACACTTAAAAAGAGGCCTGGGGGTGCCTTGGTGGTTCAGTCAGTTGAACGTCCGACTCTTGGTTTTGGCTCAGGTCATGATCTCAGGGTCATGAGATCGAGCCCTGTGTCAGGCTTGTGCTCAGCAGGGAATTGGCTTGAAATTCTCTCTCTCCCTCTCCGGCCCCTCTCCCCCACAGGAGTGCTCTTTCTCACTCTCAAAATAAATAAATCTTAAAAATAAAGCCCGAGGGATGCCTGGGTGACTCAGTTAAGTGTTTGCCTTCGGCTCAGGTCATGATGCCAGGTTCCTGGGACTGAGTCCTGTGTTGGGCTCCTTGCTCAGTGGGGGGTCTGCTTCCCCTCTGCCTGCTCTGCCCGCCCCTCTTCCTGCTTGTATTCTCTCTCTCTGACAGTAAATAAAGAAAATCTTGGGAAAAAAAAGGCTGAAAAAAATATATGTTAACTTGTTAAGCATCATTATTTCTGACCAGTGGGTGAGATTACAGATGGTTTTAATTTTCCTTTGTGTATACTTGTGCCTCACACATTTTCCAAAGAACACGAATTACGTGTATGTTTAGGAAACTTCGTTAAAAATGTATATATTGGGATGGAGTTGCTGCATTGAACTGGAACACGGGCTTGGAGGTTCTGCCACCTCCAGTGGATGTCTTCCAGACAAGCCTCTTCTGACAGAAAGTAGAGACTGGGCAGTGTGTGTTCTCAGGCTCCCCTTTTGGGTCCTAAGCAGTCTGTATGAGCAGCCTTGTGGTCCAAGTCAGGCCATGAGGGTCGGGCCTGGTCACTGGCACCTTCCAGAAGCCTGCCCAGTTGTCCTCCAGTCTGACGAGGTCCTGAGAGCATGAGACCCAGAAACAGGTCTTCTTTCTCTTGGGGCGAGTCACAACTTCCAGAAGGAGTTGCTGGTGATCAGCGTCCGTCACCAAGTAGACACTAAAAGTGCCTCTTTCTTACTTATTTGATGTTCTTCTTAGGATGCAAGTAATTTTGTACTAGAGACAAAAAGGAGAGGTGGAGTAAGGGTGAGATCCCTCGATCCTGCTGGTGAAGATGACCCAAATTGTGGGATTAAACCTGGTCACGTGGATCTTCATTTGAAACCTTCCTGATAACCAAAGGCTACAGGTTATTAGGACAGACACAGAGAGGAGCCCCATAGTCATCCCCTCTTCTTCCCTTGGCTTTGAGCAGGAGGGAGAAGGTCACGTGGAGTGTGGTGACCAGGAGCAGCTCCAGGAGGGTGTGCAGCCGGAAGAGTTCGTGGCCATTGCAGACTATTCTGCCACTGACCAGACGCAGGTAACCCTACACACTTGTTACATGCAGGGGCCTCGGGCGTTGGGTCCATGTTTTATGGATTTGGCTAAATGGCATGCTAGATGACAGAATTAGATAAGAATTTTGAAGAAGTCATACCAAAGTTAAGAAGTATTCAGATGTTCAGAGCCAAATGAGACCTGTGAGTGACCCTTCTCCTCCTAGCCTAACAGATGCTGATGCCAAGCCTTAGGTGAAAGATATCTGGGTGAGGAATGGGGGAAGGAAGCACATGTTGCAGTTTCTTTTTGGAAACCTTGATTTAGAACCTATTCTAGTTAATGAAAATTAAGGCTATAAAATAAAAATACTGACTTGAGGATGGTGGCTCAGATGGTTAAGCATCCACCTCTTGATTTCAGCTCAGGTCATGAGCTCAGGGTTGTGAGGTCTAGTTCAGCGTTGGGCTCCATGCTCAGTGCTCAGCGGGGAGTCTGCTGTAGGTCCTCTCTCCTACTCCCTTTGGCCTTCCTCCCACTCCCACTCTCTCTCTCTCTCAAATAAATAAATCTTTAAAAAAGATACTGACTTGAGTGTAGCTTTTTCTACTCCAGTAAGTGAATCAGCTGCCACATAGCTGAGTTACAGCGAAGAGGCGATAGAGAAATTCTGTCTTAAGTTGTTCAAAAATGTTTAATCTTTCCTTTAAAAAATATCAGTTAAGCTGTGCTTTCTTTCATGTAGATGTTCCACAAAAGTCTCTAAATGTTGGTATCATTTTCAGAAATTGTGAGTTTGTGTAATTACCCATTGAGTCTTTTTTGAAATAGCTGATTTGGGCCCCAATGATGGGGGACTTATCACTGAGCCACTACTGAAATTCCAACTACAGGTTTTTCTTGAATTTTGACTTCTTTGTATGTTTTTTTCCAGCTCAGCTTTTTGAGAGGAGAAAAAATTCTCATCCTGAGGCAGACAACTGCTGATTGGTGGTGGGGCGAGCGTGCAGGCTGCTGTGGGTACATACCTGCAAACCACCTCGGGAAGCACCTGGAGGATTGTGACCCTGAGGACACGTGGCAGGATGAGGAGTACTTCGGCAGCTATGGAACGCTGGTACGGCTGGGGCCACGGAGGCGGCGGTTTCCTGCCTCAGCTTTCGAGTTAGCTTCAGCTGGGCTGTTCCTCTTCGTGGCTTAGCGCAGGGTTTGCAGACGTTTTCTTTGGCTCAGCAGGCCGTGTGGCTCCTCGGCTCTGCCGTCGTGGTGCGTGAGTAGCCGTAAGACCATGAGGAAATGAGCATGGCATGTTCTTTGGATTTTTAAAAAACCAATTAAAAAATGTGAAAGCCATTCTTAGCTGGCAGACCCTACAAAAGCAGGTGGTGGGCTGGAGTGGCCCATGGTGGTTTAGAGATGTTATCTGAGCAATGAGATGATGAACTTTTCTCAGCATTTAAAAAATAGTAACACATTTTATTTTAAAAATAAAATACAAAAATGTTACACAAGCCAACAATAATACCTCTAAATAACTGGCTTATTTGTTTTTTGGAGTTTTTTCCCAGTTAGGATAGAGACCCATAACTGCGGTCCAGACAGCCCCTGTTTATATCTTAAAGCTAGACAAACACTGATGCGTGCAGAGTAAACATCGCAGACAGAATGTTGGGCGAAAGAAGCGAGACATCGAAGAATAACTCGATTCAGTTACATAAAGTTAAAAAGCAGTGTTCAAAGATGTTTATGAAGGGAAGTGACCAGGGAGCTGGTTCCTCTGGGAGTCAGGATGGTGGTTCCTGTTGCCAGGGCGTCTGTGGTGGTGGCAGCCTTAAAAATAACTGTCATCCAGCAAAGTGGGCTTATTCGAGGAGCGGAGGAACTGCGGTGCAGGCCAAGCGCCCCGTGGGGAACTGCAGGCCAGTCTGGAGAACCAAGGCCAGGAGGCTTTTCGTAAGGAAGGGGGAGTGGGCGGGGCCGTGTGGAACCAAAGCCCTTTGGAGGGCGGCGGCGGCTTTTCATTGGCTGAGTGTGGCAGTTTCTCATTGGCTGGACTGTTGCTAGGCCAGGAGAAAATCTTCCTCCTGCGGAGGTAGTAATGTAGGCTTCTTCCTTTGGAGTCTGTCGCGGTGGAGGGGTAGTGCTGAGCCGGCCCAGCCCTTGTGGCGTCCCTCTCCACGCTCAGTGAGGTTTGCTTTCCCGGCTTTCCTGGTTGCAGGGCTGGGCTGGGAAGGTGTGGGGTGCGGGCAGCGTTGTGCTGTTGCTTGCGCGAGTGTTTGCTGTGTAACTATATCGACAACCTGAGAGCACTTTCTCATGTACTTTTTTGGTAGGTATGTCCCATTTCATGGTTAAACGTGTTACAATAAATGAAAACCCCTTGATGTATGTATACGATTAGAGCTTTCAAACTTTTTTCCTGAAAGATTTTATTTATTTATTTATTTATTTGTCAGGAAGAGAGAGAGCGCACAAGCAGGGGGAGCAGCGGGCAGAGGAAGAAGCAGACTGCCTGCTGAGCAGGGAGCCTGATGTGGGACTCGATCCCAGGACCCTGGGGTTATGATCCGAGCTGAAGGCAGATGCCTAACTGAGCCTCTCAGGTGTCCGTAGAGCTTTCAGACTATTAAGAGTGTTTTGTTGATTTTAAAAGGACCCTATTGGTGGTTTGCTTGTTTAACAGCTTTGCCCTATGACAAGCAGTGCTGTAATGGGTTTTCTCTTATAGAAATCTTGCTAAACTTCTAGAATTTCTCTTGGGTAAATTTGTAGGGTGTATGTGTTTTTTCACTTTGGCGGGTCTTGCCAATTTGCCCTCCAGAAAGATCGGCAACTGTACGCCACCAGTGTACATGAATGCTCGTTTCACAACCACACATTGCTAAAGTAAATACAGATCTCTCATCTTATGGTATTTCTTGATTTTGATTTCCATTTTTAAAGTCAGATTGGTCATCTTCTATATTTTGTTGGCCTTTTCTATTTCTTCTTTTTTTGGTAAACTTTCATATAATTTGCTCATTTTTCTTTTTATTTTTGTCAACTTACACGTACACCTTAGCCTCCTAGTTCTGACTTTCCGTCAAGGTGGACTACTCAGGTGGGATGGCTGAGTCCCGATTGTGTCCTCTCTGACCCTCAGTCTTTTGTTTCTCAGCGCTGAGTGTCTTTGTGAAGAGCCACGATGGGCTTGTGAAGGCCCTGTGCAGACTTCCTATCTGTGCTGACGAGGTCTGGGTAGCTTCAGTGTCTGCCTCACAGCCGTACTGTGTGTACAGTGGGTGTTCTGCAGCTTGAGACCTGAGAAGTGGGGCGTGGGGGCCAGTGTTGTGGGTGCAGCCTTCCTGGGCTCTCACTTCCACCCGTGGCTTCATGAACCATTTGGAGGAGCCTTTCTCTTTTTCTCTGGGGATTGGCGTGATTCCCATGGGGTGTTACGTTATCTTGGGTTTCATGTGTTTTCCTCCCTCTGGACATGGCTAGAGACCTTGAGCTCACCCCTGTGGGGTCATCAGCTCCCTCCAGAGCTGTAGTTTCATGAGGGGCCAGTGTGCCTCCTCTGGCATCTCTCTTGGTGTTTACTTAGCCAAGTGGTACCTGGTGGGGAATTTGGTGGTTCCTCCTGTCTCCAGTGGGAACAGTGGTCAGGAGGGCAGTGTCTGCTCCGCTTCCTGAGTGGTCCACCCGCCTGTGTGCTCATCCGGCTCTTGGGGAGGTACAGGGTGAAGCCATAGGTAGCATCACACTGAACTGGAAGGATTCCAGAAAATTCCATTTCATTTCTTCAGTGTTGTGTTTTTATGTGCCAGCATATTTAGGTCTTTGGATTTTGTGGTTTTTTCCTTTGTTGCTCGTATTTTTAGGCATGGTGTGGTGGGGTCAAGGGGATTATTAGCTCAGTCTCTGATCTTCCTTCTTAAACCAGAGCTCAGCACAGTTCATATTACAGGCAGTGATTCCTAATGTGTATTTCCTCTAGAAACTTCACTTGGAAATGTTGGCAGACCAGCCACGGACAACTAAATACCACAATGTTATCCTGCAAAATAAAGAATCTCTGAAAGATAAAGTGATTCTGGACGTCGGCTGCGGAACAGGGATCATCAGCCTCTTTTGTGCCCACTACGCGCAGCCTAAAGCCGTGAGTAAGAAACAGCTCTCCTTCAGCAGCTTCGAGCTGAGTCTGGGGACGTGTCGTCCGCATGCAAAGGCATCGTGTTGGTGAAATGGGCAATGTGTTCTTGTGGGCTGAGCCTGTCGGCGGTCATGACCTCGGCCTGCTGAGTTACCAGCAGCACCGAGTAGAGTAGGACAGAGCAGAAAATATCGGAGTTGCGTGCGGTTGGATGTTTTTTGTAACATACTTATCAGCTAGAGGAACACGTGTCTGTGGGCTGGGGCTGGGCCACTTGTGTAGGTCACTGTCCATGTGTTATCCCTGCACCGAGTGAGGACCGCCTGGCAGGGACAGGACAGACCACTCTACGTGACGCATGCTGGGGTCCTTTCTCTTCTTCCCTGCAAAGCATGTGTGAGGCTCCAGAGTTGAAGCCTCTGAAATGCCCCTGACACAGTTGGGTGAAATTCTAGTTTATGAGGGAAACTGCAGGACAGTGATCACTGGAGTTCAGATGCTATCAGAACCAAGACGTAACACTCAGGACCTTCCAGTGACAACCTGAGCTTGAAGCTGTCTCAGCCACTGGTACCCTTAAAGTCCGATCGTTCTCAGGCCGGTGTGGGAAACTCTGGGGTATGTGGCTGTGTGTATGGGAGCTGAGCTACCGGGTCTGACCCAGAGGGCCTCTGCAACGGTATGCATGCAGACTCTTCTGTCCACCGGCTGTCCCCCATCTGTTTTAGGCAGACGGTGGAGTTAAGATGGGAGGTAGCTCCCTTGTCAGGGCTCCGTCTGTTGGAGATCTGTCCCTGCTATCCAGCACACTCCCTTCCTTCTGTCGCTGTTTTCTTTGAGGCTGCCTCTGGCTTGGCTGGAGCCTTGGGCCCAGGGAGAGTGGATGCCAGGCTGCTCTGTGGGTGGGACTCTTGCTGATGCCTTTCTGTGACATGCAGGTGTACGCAGTGGAGGCCAGTGAGATGGCCCAGCACACAGGGCAGCTGGTCATGCAGAATGGCTTTGCCGACATCATCACTGTGTTCCAGCAGAAGGTGGAGGATGTGGTGCTGCCGGAGAAGGTGGACGTGCTGGTGTCCGAGTGGATGGGGACCTGCCTGCTGGTAAGGGGCACTGGGCCACGCGGGATGGCTGCTGGGCCACGTGGGATGGCCGTGGATGGGCGCTGGGTCATGTGGGATGGCCGTGGATTGCGCCAGGGAAGTGCAGATTTCAGGGAGGGGTGTGGACTGGGTCTGGAGGGGCTGGTGTGAGCAGAACATCTTGGGGAGAGCTGTGGCTGTCGTGCTGAATGAAACCACCTGGTGCTTGTCCGGGTGCTGTCTTCTGTTTTGTGCCGGACGGCCGTGAGCCACGACACCCTGCTGTCCGTGATGTGGGCGGACCTTGAAGGCATTATGCTAAGTGAAGTAAGTCAGACAGAGACACATCATATGGTCTCATTTATATGTGGAATCTAAAACCAGCAACACAAAACTCACCCACCAGACTCCTAGAAAAAGAGATCAAATTTGTGGTTAGTGGAGGGTGGGAGGGTGAGGGGAGAAAGAATTGTTGGGAGGGCTGTGGTTGAAAGGTACAGACTTTCAGGTACCACGCAGGTGAGCACCGGGGCCGTCACATACAGCGTGGCAACCCCAGTGACGCTGCTGTGTGATGCATGGGACAGTCTTACCAGAGGACTGTCGACCCTCGAACAACGTGGGTTTGAACTGTGTGGGCTCTCTTATACATGGGATTTTTTTTTGATAAATACAGGACAGTGCTTTATGATTTTAACATTTTCTTTTCTCTGGCTTACTTTGTCAGAACGCAGTACACAATACAAATTACGTAAAATGCCTGTGACGGTTGATGTTCCTGTTAAGGCTTCAGGTCAGCATAGCCTATTAGTAATCAAGTTTTCGGGGAGTCAAAGGTTCTGTGTGGATTTTTTTTTTTTTTTAAAGATTTTATTTATCAGAGAGAGAGAGCATGCGCGCGCACACAGGAGAACACAAGCAGGCAGAGGCAGAGAGAGAAGCAGGCTCCCCACTGAGCAAGGAGCCCGATGCGGGACTCGATCCCAGGACCTGGGATCATGACCTGAGCCGAAGGCAGCGGCTTAACCCACTGAGCCACCCGGGTGCCCTGTGTGGATTTTTGACTATGTGGGGTGTCAGTGCTAATCCCTGCGTGTCCCAAGGTCAGCCGTGGATCTAGGGGTGGTTGGTGTTGTTTTTAAACTTTTATTTTTTTTTCTTTAAGATTTTATTTATTTATTTGACAGACAGAGATCACAAGTAGGCAGAGAGGCAGAGAGAGGGGGAAGCAGGCCTCCTGCTGAGCAGAGAGCCCGATGCGGGGGGCGGGGGGCTCTATCCCAGGAGATCTAAGAGTTTTTATCACAAGGCGAAGTTTTCCTGTCTTTTCAATGTGTCAGTAGGAGGTGATAGATAACCCTACTGTGGTAATCGTTTAACAATTATGTAAACCAAATCACCAGGCTGTACACCTTCAACTTGTAATGATTTTAGGAATTAAAAAAAAAAAGCACAAAAAAGCATGTACAACATGAGTCCAGTTTTGTTTTTAAAAATCATACATACTGGCGCCCTCGGTTAAGTGTCTGACTTGGTTTGGGCTCATGTTGTGATCTCAGGGTTGCGAGACCGAGCCCTGCACTGGCCTCCCTGCTGAGCATGGAGTCTGCCCGAGACTCTCTCCCCCCCTCTGCCCCTGTTCCCTGTGCATTCAGGCTCTCTGTCTCTCCAATGCATAAATTAAAAAGAAAATCATACGTAGCAATGACCTTGCTTTAGTTCCCGGTAAGATGGAGTAAACCACACCCCACCCTGTCTCTCCCACGTAATGCAGCTTTCGATCCAAGACAGGGCTCAGGGAGACGCTGTTGGAGGACTTTGAAAGGCATATAGGAGCAGGAAGGTTGGGAAGGAAGACCAGGGTTTGAAGTACACTGAGCTGGTCTTTAGTTCATTGTCATTCTTCCTCTGGCTCTCTCCCCCCATACACAGCTTCAGAAATTTAGATGAAAACATCCATTCTGAAAACTGCAACCTTCCACACTAACCCACAATGAGGTAGATAACCTGAATAATGAAATAACTAGTAAAGATATTGAACTTACAGTTGAAAACCTTCTGAAGAGAAATCTGTAGGCCTAAATTATTTCACTGGTGAAATGTATGAACACATTCTAGGAAAGAATAACACCAGATCTGAACAGTGTCTTTCAGAAAATGGAAGAGGACAGACTTCCCAGCTCACTTGGTGAGACATGCATGACCTGAGATACCAAACCCTAACCAAAAACCAAACCCAGGAACTCCTGTTCGTAAATACAGAAGTCCTCAGGAGTACTAGCAAGTGTATCCCTGCAGTACACAAAAGGAATAACGTTGTAACAGAGAAGAGGTTATCTTGGAATTGAAGGCTGGTTCAGTATTTAAAGATGAAGCTGTGTGGGATGCCTGGGTAGTGGCTCAGTGGTTGGGCATCTGGCTTCAGCTCGGGTCATGATCCTAGGGTCCCGGGATGGGGCTCCCTGCCCAGTGGGAGGCCTGCTTCTCTCTCTCCCACTCCCCTGCTTGTGGGCCCTCTCTCGCTGTCTCTCTCTCTCTGTCATATTAAAAGAAAAAAATCTGTGTAATCTATATTAACATATTAACAGTTTACAAGATAAAACATGACTATCAATTCATGCACAAAGCGTTTGGCCACATTCAGAATATTTTAAAAATTTCTGCTGAGATTTCTTCTTTGATCCTGTATTGTTTTTTTTTAGAAATACTTTTTCATTTCTCCAGTGTTGTTTGATTATCCAGCTATCTTTCTGTTCTTGATTTCTAGTTTAACTCTGTTAAACTGTGGTCTGAGAGCAGACATTGTATGATTTCTCTTCTTTTACATTTGTGAAGATGTGTTTTATGACCCAGAACATGTGTCTCAGGGAGAGTGCTCCATGGGTGTCTGGGAAGGACAGAACGTGTCTCTCTTGGAGAGCGCTCTGTGGGGACCCGGGAAGGAGAGAACGTGTCTCTTGGAGATGTTCCATGGGTGCCCGGGAAGAAGATGTCTCTTGGAGAGCACTCTATGAGGGCCTGGGAAGGACAGAACGTGTCTCTCTTGCTGAGTGCTCTGTGGGAGCCTGAGAAGACAAAATGTGTCTTAGGAAGAGTGCTCCGTGGGTGCCTGGGAAGGACAAAGTGTGTCTCTTGGAGAGCGCTCCGTGGAGGCCGGGAAGGAGGCGTATTCTGCCCTTGGATGAAGCGGTTTGTAGATGTGCAGCACATCCTGGGGTAGATGGTGGTGCTGAGTTCACTGTGTCCTTGCAGACCTTCTGCCTGTTGGATCATTTCTTCTCTGGGACAGGGCCGCCAGCTGCTTCTCTCTCCTTGCAGCTCTCTGTGTTTTCCCTCACACGTGGTGCTCTGTTGTTAGGGTGTATAAGGTCTTGTTGGAGAGTTGACCCCTTCATCCTTATGTTATGCCCCTTTTTATCTCTGATAACTTCCTTCTTCTGAAGTCTGCTCTGTCTGAAATTAACAAGTTACTCCTGCTTTTTTGGATCAGTGTTAGCATCGTATGTCTGTCTCCGTCCATTTACTTTAAATTTCTATGTATCAGTATATCTATTTATTCATTTTATTATTAACTTTTTAAAAATGCTTCAGTAATCTGTACACCCCATGTGGGGCTCGAACTCATGACCCTGAGATCTAGAGTTGCACACCCTTCTGACTGAGCCGGGCAGGTGCCCCGTCAGTGTATTTGGAGTTTCTTAGAGACAGCACCTAGTTCGGTCTTTGTTTTTTTTTTTTTTAATTTTTAATTTTTTATTGTTTTATAAACATATAATGTATTTTTATCCCCAGGGGTACAGGTCTGTGAATCGCAAGGTTTATACACTTCACAGCACTCACCATAGCACATACCCTCCCCAATGTCCTCGGTCTTAGTTTTTGAACCGCTCTGATAATCTCTGTCTTTTAATTGGTTTATTTATTTATTTATTTATTTATTTATTTATTAAAAAAAATTTTTTTTTAATTTTTTTTATAAACATATAATGTATTTTTATCCCCAGGGGTACAGGTCTGTGAATCGCCAGGTTTACACACTTCACAGCACTCACCATAGCACATACCCTCCCCAATGTCCGTAACCCCACCCCCCCTCTCCCAACCCCCCTCTCCCCATTAACCCTCAGTTTGTTTTGTGAGATTAAGAGTCACTTATGGTTTGTCTCCCTCCCAATCCCATCTTGTTTCATTTACTCTTCTCCTGCCCCCTTAACCCCCCATGTTGCATCTCCTCCCCTCATATCAGGGAGATCATATGATAGTTGTCTTTCTCCGATTGACTTATTTCGCTAAGCATGATACCCTCTAGTTCCATCCACGTCGTCGCAAATGGCAAGATTTCATTTCTTTTGATGGCTGCATAGTATTCCATTGTGTATATATACCACATCTTCTTTATCCATTCGTCTGTTGATGGACATCTAGGTTCTTTCCATAGTTTGGCTGTTGTAGACATTGCTGCTATAAACATTCGGGTGCACGTGCCCCTTAGGATCACTACGTTTGTATCTTTAGGGTAAATACCCAGCAGTGCAATTGCTGGGTCATAGGGTAGTTCTATTTTCAACTTTTTCAGGAACCTCCATGCTGTTTTCCAGAGTGGTTGCACCAGCTTGCATTCCCACCAACAGTGTAGGAGGGTTCCCCTTTCTCCGCATCCTCGCCAGCATCTGTCATTTCCTGACTTGTTAATTTTAGCCATTCTGACTGGTGTGAGGTGATATCTCATTGTGGTTTTGATTTGTATTTCCCTGATGCTGAGTGATGTGGAGCACTTTTTCATGTGTCTGTTGACCATCTGGATGTCTTCTTTGCAGAAATGTCTGTTCATGTCCTCTGCCCATTTCTTGATTGGATTATTTGTTCTTTGGGTGTTGAGTTTGCTAAGTTCTTTATAGATTTCAGACACTAGCCCTTTATCTGATATGTCATTTGCAAATATCTTCTCCCATTCTGTCAGTTGTCTTTTGGTTTTGTTAACTGTTTCCTTTGCTGTGCAAAAGCTTTTGATCTTGATGAAA